AAGCCAGCACATACCAGCATGTCTAGAGGGAGGTGATTCACTCGAGACGAACAGCGCTGAACGGAGGGACCTCACACGGCGGTGCTATCATAAAATACGTCATCGTGTTCAAATTGATACTTCAGTGCGCCCTCTGTCCGGGGTCCCGCCGTTATCCTTGGTTGACGCGGCTGTGGTAAAGACGTTTTAACCTCTAGGACACTAGAGACGTGTTAAAAAAATCGATCTTTCGATTGAGAGTAGCTGACATGCTGCATATCATTTGTATACTAGAGTGATAAGCAGTTGACAAAACAGTCAGTCTCTGACGATCCATCACTAATCTGTGGCAGATGACACAGATGCCACAAACATTATATCTCAGTTTACACAAAAATGGAGAGGAATGGTTATCACACGTGTGATGAAATAGCTGTCTGGTTGTGCGTCTTACGTTTTTTTTATTTTACGTCGATATGCAGGGAAATCTTTGCAGCCTGCATCTGGCGTCCCCCCCCCCCACAAAGGGCACATTGGGGCCATAGACCCCAAAAGCCCCCTTCAGTGCGGCGCGATATTTACTTCCAATCTGTGATTTTTCATTTAATATAGGCCTTAAATCACCAAATTTTTAAATAATTATAATGTTCCTGCGTAGATCTGAGCTATTGCGCTTAGTGGTCTTGTGGTTGTAGACGAGTGTTTTAGGAACATGTTGCCTCCATCTTCAGGACTGAAATGGGGGACGTCTAGGAAGTTGATGGGTCGCGTAGACATGTGGAGGATCAGGTCAGTCTTCATGTCATCCTAAACCATGAAGATGGAAGCAGAATGTCCACCCGAAAGGTTGTTAGAGCTTTGCTTAAGGTAACAGGGAAGACTAGTTTTGTTCCAAAATGTCGCTCTGTAATATTATTCTCGTTGAGATCTGACGAAGGATTACATTTAGAATATTACATTTAAATTTATATCGATTATACACCTGAAGATGGTTCATTGAAAACCGAAACATGTCGTGAAAAAGATGATGCTCTAATTGTAAATCGAACATTTCGATAGAAAGAGCATCATTTTAATATATTTTAAATATTAAATGTTAATTGTAGTAATAATATTTTAATATTTAATTAAAATATTTTATTGTGATTAGACGGTTAAAATTAAACAATTATAATCATCACAATATGACGCAACATTATCATCTCATGAATATTATTTTCTTTGTCTTTAAACGGAACACTGTCGGAAAGATTAGTAGGTTTCTCTGCTCATAAACGCGTCTCATCTCCAGCGACGCGTGGAAGCTGGCCTAGGCCTAGTGTGATACGATTAATTCTGCTGATG